GTGCATTTAAAACTTTTGCCAAACTTATCCGCTTTCTCTCTCGCAGCGGACCGAAATGACAGGAGCGGTGGGGGCTCGACACACACGGCCATGAGCACACAGGCAGAGGGGGAGTGAGATGGTGAGGGGGAGAGAGACGATTTCAAAGAAAGATTTCTTCTTTCAATTTAAACCAAGCACAATTTTGGGAAACATTTCATTTGAAGAATCGAAACCCCCCGGATGTGGGAACGGACCATAAAATCTACAAAAACATTCCTCAGGAGTTCATTTATCTCCTGACATCCTCGGTCACGTACATACATCTGAACAAACATCATATGTCTTCACCCGGAGGTCATAGGTTGACGTCGGAATTTCACATATGCCGATTTTCACATCTGGACATCTAACAGGTCACGAGGTCAACCAACGTGGGTGGTCGCTATGCGGGGGGTCACTACGTGGGTGGGCCACGTGGGGGAGGGGAAAGGTCACAAAGGTCAAAGCCATCAATCAAGGGTCATAAATCATTTTGACATAAGGTCCATCATATAGCTACTCTGGCATGTTGTCAGAACCTGTCACTTTAGGTTCGAATCTGGGGTGAAACATAAATATAATTATAATAAATATTTGAAAGTTGTGTTTTAATTGTTCTGTTCTTGTAATGTGTTGTAACATCTCTCTGACAACTGAATGAACTGTTTGTGAATATGTTATTTTGCTCATGAAAAAATTAACATTAATAAAAGACATCAAGCCACAACGCCTGGCATTTTTTACATATAAAGATTTTGTTTTAAATATATTAATTGTTCTGCTGCATTAATGTGCGATTGTGTGGTTTGTTCCCGACCCTGTCGATCAAGAGCAGATTCGGGTCTCGAAACACTTGTGAAACGCCCCGATGCTTTGATTCACCTTAGTCACGTGACATGGGTGTTTCGAAACATCTGCGCTTCGGGATCTCGACACCGTGTCGAAACATCAGTTTCGCGTCAGCCATCCCTATTGAATATTGCTTTTTCTCCTTTCTTTCTTTTTGGCTAGCTTCTTCTTACCTGCTTGTTTTCGAGATCTGTCTTCACTACGTGCTTTCAAATCTCTACCAATACTTGCACTCGTAAATCGCACTCTGTACATTGGAGTCAGCGTAACCCCAAAAATCTTCGTACAGTCCCCATATCCTCTACTAATTTATTTATCCCAACTGGGCTCTGGAACTGCCAGTCTGCTGTAAACAAAGCAGAATTTATTTCATCTGTCGCTACACATTCTAGTCTTAACCTCATGGCTCTAACTGAGACCTGGATCAAATCAGAGGACACTGCCACTCCTGCAGCCCTCTCCACTAATTTAACTTTTTCCCACACCCCTTGCCCGATTGGAAAGGGTGGAAGAACTGGTCAAAAATTTTATTGATGTTCAACAAATAAAAAACATACACTGTACAGATAAACAGATGATAAAGTTTGGGTTAATTAATAACCACAAACAACCTGGATTTTATGTTTCTAAATGAAACATGGCTAGAAGACAGCTGCAGTGCAACGGTCCTCAATGAAACAGCCCCTCCTAACTTCACTTTCATGAGTGTTTGCAGGACTGTTAGGAGAGGTGGATGGAGAGCTGTTCTATTTAAAGATGTCTATGAATGCAAGCAAGTGTCATTTGGTCAGTACTTGTCTTTTGAATATATAGGGATTGTGTTGAAAGGTGCGCCACGCATTCTGTTTATCATTATTTACAGGCCTCCAAAATACTCTCCAGCCTTTGTTGAAGAGTTCACAGAAATGCTATCAATGATTTCCTCAGAGTTTGACTGTTTTGCTATTGCAGGGGATTTTAATATTCACATAGATAATGCAGAAAACAAAACTACAAAAGAAATTATAACTGTTTTAAACACTTTTGACCTGATTCAGCATGTGCATGAACCCACACACAATCGTGGACATACTCTAGATTTAATCAAGCAGTGTTGGAGCTAAGAAGATAATTATGTGATGATTGACCATTAATGATGAACAGCTGCTGTTAACAAGCAGAATCACCGAAGAAAAGAGAAACAAGAACTACAACTGACTTCAGCCACAGCCGAAGATGAAATCAACTGAAATAAAAGACATTAAATCTCTCAAGATCTGATTTAACAACTCCACAAACAGCTTTACCAGTTTCATTCATTACTAACCAGACTGACTTTATTTCTGTCAGGTGTCTAGAGAAGCTCTTAGTGAGAATTAACAGAGGTTTAGATGTTTTATTGTTTCGTTTGAAATCACCATCAAGGAGATCAGTGTTTGCTTTTGTTGGGCTCTTGACCCTTGACGCTTTCACATTTGTTTTTCCGATTGCTAAGACAGTGTGTTTATAAAACACATTTAGTATGAGCATAAAAGCCCAGAGAAAAGGTGTGATGATATAACCATGTGCATAGTCATGTACCATAAATACATAATTATATGGCTGTTCAGTTTTTAGGTTTGTATTATTTGTCTTTGTATTTATCTTTTTTTTTTTTATTCTACAGCATGAGATCCAGCAGTGTTTCGTCAATCAGATAACGTGAAAGATTTTAAAAACACTTTGTGCATATTTAGCATGCTCTCAGGGAGGTCCTCAGGCTCCCATTGAGAGGCCAGAGGTGCAGAGCCCACAGCTCGGGCTGGGGGTGCCATATCGTTCTGTTCGCCTGAGAGAGGAAGTCTCGTCCCAGGGGAATGGGCCACGGGGCTGCTGAGAGCAGCCGAGACAATTCTGCGAACCAGTGTTGGTTCCTCCAGAGCGGGGCCACCAACAGAACCTTGTGTTTCTGTTCCCTGATTCGCCTGATTACCTGTGGGATAAGGGCGATCGGGGGAAAAGTGTAAAGGAGGAGGTTGGGCCAGTCGTGGGCCAACGCATCCCTGTCCTTCGAAAAGTAAATTGGGCAGTGAGAGTTTCCTTCTGAGACGAAGAGGTTGACCTCTGCCTTGCCGAAGATCTCCCAGATTCTCTGAACCGTCTGTGGGTGGAGCATCCACTCCCCTGAGGGGACGTTGCTCTGAGATAGCATGTCTGCTCCTCGGTTCAACCTGACCAGCACATGCGCTGCTCTTAGCGAACGCAAGTTGAGCTGAACCCATTCCAGGAGGCGCTCTACCAGAATGAAGAGGTGCTTTGAGGAGAGACCGCCCTGGCGATTTATATGTGACACCACTGTCATGCTGTCTGAGCGGACTAGCACGTGGTGTCCCCTTAGGTCAGGCGTGGGACAGAACTCGTGGTTTCAGCCAGCACTGAAGGGGCCGCATGCGAAGCAGGCCCAGCTGAAGTACCGGAGACGCAGAGGCCATGAGGCCCAACATCTTCTGAAACGCCTTGAGAGGGCGAGAGGCTCCAACTTTGAATGAGCCCGTGAGTTGCTGAATAGCCAGTGCACGATCTGGCCGACTATCTCCCTCATTTGGGCTGAGTCAAGAAATGTTCCCAGGATCGATATCCGTTGGCTGGTGGACAGCGCGCTCTTGGCAAAATTGTCCCAGGCATTCTAAGTGGCTGAGGAGGAAGGATCTGTGAGATAATAGCTCGTCCTCTGACTGGGCCAGGATGAGCCAGTCGTTGAGATAATTCAGAATGCGGATTCCCATCTGTCTCAGTGGGGAAAGAGCCACATCTATGCACTTCGAAAAAATGTGAGGAGCCAGGGACAGTCCAAAGGGAAGGACTGTGTATTGATATGCCACTCCCTCGAAGGCAAATCTCAAGAATCGCCTGTGGTGGGGGGGCTATCTGGATGTGGAAGTAGGCGTCTTTCAGATCCAGCGAAAAGAACCAGTCCCCTGGGCACACTTGCGAGAGGATCTGCTTCAATGTAATAATCCTGAACGGCCGTTTCATGAGGGCACGGTTCAGGTGCCTGAGATCGAGGATGGGCCTTAGGCCGCCATACTTTTTGGGGATGAGGAAGTAGGAAGGACATGTGCGTCCTGAACCGATGTGGAGAACACGCCGCTGAATCGCAGGGGTCTTCGAGCGAATTGAAGTGAGTAGCCTCGTTTTATTATCCCCAGAACCCATTTTGACACCCCGGGGATGGCCTGCCAGGCCTCGGCCCGCGTGGCAAGGGATTAGGTTGGTTCGAGCGACAGGCCGCCTTCCGGGGACCCAACGCTCGTGATAGGCGGATAGTAGCTGCTCGCATCACAGCCTATCTGACAAACATTTCTGGCTGGAAGAAGGACCATCACCATCAACTCAACCTTGCTAAGAAAGAACTGCTGGTGGTGTCAGCCAACCCAGCATTTCATTGCAACTTCTCCATTCAGCCTGGTTCATCAACCATAACTCCTTCCAGGACAGCCAGGAACCTTAGAGTTTTGATTAATGATCAGTTAAACTTCACAGACCATATTACTACAATGACTCGGTCCTGCAGATTTGCCTTATACAACATTAGGAAGATTAGACCCTTCCTATTAGAGCAGGCCTCACAACTCCTTTTCCAAGCTCTTGCTCTCTCCAGACTTGACTATTTTAATGCTCTCTTGGCGGGCCTTCCAGCATGTACTGTCAAGCATCTGCAACTGATCCAGAATGCAGCAGAGAGTGGTCTTCAATAAGCTTAAGAAAAGGGCGCACATCACACCTCTCTTCAACAGTTTGCACTAGCTGCCAATAGCTGCTCACATCAAATTCAAGGTACTGATGTTTGCCTACAAGACGACCACTGGCTCTGCACCGATATACCTAAACTCGCTAGTTCAGACTTACGCGCCCTCCAGAAGCTTGCGTTCTGCAAGTGAACGGCGCCTTGTGGTGCCATCTCAAAGAGGCACAAATTCACTCACACAGACTTTTTCCTGGACTGTTCCCAGCTGGTGGAATGATCTGCCTGTCTCAATCCAAGCAGCTGTTTTCAAAAAACATCTAAAGACACATATTTTCCATCAGCACCTGCCCAATTAATACTAGCACTTATCTATTCTATCCTCTTCTACTCTATTCTTTGTAATTTATGTATTAAAAGAAAAAAAAACTTTGTGTACTATGCTAGACTAACTGAGACTTGTCATGGCACTTGCATACTGTTGCCCTCTTGTTGATTTGATTGCTTCTTTTGTTCTCCTCATTGGTAAGTCGCTTTGGATAAAAGCATCTGCTAAATTATTAAATGTAAATGTAAATGTAAATGTAAATTGAGGTATGAAGTTCAACCTACTCTTTGTGTGATCACTAACTGGACATTGTTGTTTCTTGTGTAGTTCCGATTTTTGTTTTTCTTCTCTTTTCTTCTTCTCTTCTTCCTTTTTCTGTATTTCATCTAGTTTTTCTTTCTCCCATTGCATTCGTTCTAGTTTAATCTGTTCAAGCATTTCATTCTCCTTTTCCTCTCTGTCTTTTATTAGTCTTTTATATCGTTCTTCTCTCTCTCTGAATTCCTCTTCTCTTCTCTTTCTCTCTTTGTCCTGATTCTGTCGTTCTTCCTCCATCATCATCTTCATTCTCTCTTTCTCTTCTTCATGTTTCTTCATCAGTTCTTCTCTTTCTATCTTCAGTTTCTCCATCAGGATCTTCATCTTGTCTTCTTCTTCATGTTTAGACTGAAGATCTTCTTTCTCTCTTTTCTTTCTCTCTCGTACTTCTTTCAGTCTCTGATTAAATTCATCATGAACTCTCTGTTCTTTCTCTCTTCTTTTCTCATCCTCTTCTTCTCTTCTCGTCTCTTCCTCTAGTTTCTGTTTCTCCCATTCCTCTCGTTCTCTCTTCATCTCCTTGCACATCTTTTCCTCACTCTCTTCTTTCTCTTTTATTAGTATTTTATATTGTTCTTCTCTCTCCATAAACTCTTCTTCTCTTCTCTTTCTCTCTTCATCATTTCTCTCTTTCTCTTCTTTGTGTTTCTTCATCAGTTCTTCGTTTTCTTTAATTTCTCCTTTATGTTGTTCTTCTCTCTCATTAAATTCATCTTCTCTTTTCTTTCTCTCATTCTCTATTCTGTTCACCATTCTTTCCATTTCTGTTTCGTATTTGGTCTGTAGATTTTCTTTTTCTCTCTTCATATTCTCCTTTTCTTGCCTCATTTCATTTTTTAACATCTCTTGTTCTATTTTCATTTCCTCTCGTATCTGCTGCTCCTTTTCTTTCATTTCTGTTTTATATTGTTCTTCTCTTTCTCTGATTAATTCTTCTCTCCTCTTTCTCTCTTTGTCCTGATTCTGTTGTTCTTCCTCCATCATCATCTTCATTCTCTCTTTCTCGTCTTCACGTTTCTTCATCAGTTCTTCTTTCTCTTTCATTGGTGTTTTGTACTGTTCTTCTTTTTCATTAAATTCTTCTCTTTTCTTTCTCTCTTCACCATTTCTCTCTTTCTCTTCTTCATGTTGCTTCATCAGTTCTTCTTTTTTGTTCATTCCTCTTTTATATTGTTCTTCTCTCTCATTAAATTCATCTTCTCTTTTCTTTCGCTCATTCTCTATTCTGTTCATCAGTCTGTCTGTTTCTGTTTTATGTTGTTCTTCTCTCTCTCTCATGTGTTCAAAAATGTCTCTGTTATAACTCAGTTATAACAGCCAAGCAAAAACTAACTTTAATAATGTAAGGATCAAGAGCCCAACTAAAACAAACACTGTAATAATGCAATAATGGTCAATCCTCACTCAATTAATCACTTATCGCATTAACTTTAACTCTTCTTCTTCTTCTTGTATGATTTGCGGCAGCTTAGACGCTTCAAAGGCGTATTGCTGCCCTCCCCAGTTCATCTGAAGAACTCCATCTCATAGATTAAATCCTCAAATAAAGACCAGTGTGGAGTAAAAAACGTATAACAACCTTTGTTGCTTCATATTCCTTATTTTCAAGAATTGATTTTAAAGATAAAGATGAGACTCCGGATTCCAACAGATCAGAAAACATGCGGTTTCTTGCAGCACGAAGAATTTCACACTCCATTACTACATGCTTCACGGTTTCTAATTCTCCACACAAACATCTGCCATCTGGATGCTTGCCAACCC